AATGTAAATATATACATACATACATATGTTTAAATAAATTATAATAAAATAGTTTTTATAAAAAGGTCCATTTTACATGACTTTAGACAATTGCGGAAAAAAGTCAAAAAAATGCCGTAGAAAATCTTATCAACTTAGCTGAAATAGAAAAATTCATACATGTTTGCAAAAATCAATTTGCAACAATCAGCAAATCGATTTCACGCAAATATCATATTTTCGGCAAGCAAGCAAATGTACAAAAACCCGCTCCTTTCCCCGTTTCCCCGCTTCTTCTGAACACTTGTCGTTCTGACTTCCATTTTTATTTTAGAGTTTGTTTTGATCCGACACAAGCACGCGCCTGCCTCCGCAAGCATCCCCTCTGCCTAGTGCTTATTATATTTCTGTTCCTCTTTCCTTTTTCGTTCTTATTTTTTTCATTTTGCTTTGAACTACAGTAAATTTGCTCGAAGTGTGGTGGCACGGAAAAATTTTTGGTATGGTGGCAGCCGACACTTCTCTGCCGACACCGTCGGTCGAGTGGTGTATTTGGCCGACTGCACCCCAAAATTTCTGGCAGCAATTAGTTCACACAGAAAATGCGCCTTCTCATTTATAAACGTTCTCTGGTTTGGGCAATGTTCGAAATTCGGAAAAAATCGAATTTCAACCCCCCACTACCCATCCCTAATAAGTAGCGTGTGAAACTTCTTCGTTGTGCGGGATTAGTTGTCCGGGATGGCCAATGTGGTTATCGTACGAGCGTGTACAGAAAATCGAGTAGCGAGCTAGTGCAAATTGGACGGTTTGCAATTTTAATGATTTGAAAGTCACCTATTTTCCATAAAAGTGAAAAATCTACAAACAGAAAGAACAAAAATGATTAAAATAAAGATGTTTTAAGATTTTTGGTTATCGCGACTATCAAACTGTCAAACACAATGAATTTTCCAACATGCTGGCAAATTTATTTTGGATGTCAAATGTTGCCACATGTGTTGATTCACATCCAAATATCCGTTCTCATTTTAACGTCATTTCACTGAGCCAAATATGTCGTCAAATGAAAATGATACCATATGACAACCTGTTTTCACCTA